GGGCCCAGCCACGCCCCGCAGCCCCAGGCGGACACGCCCCCCAAGGGGCCCAGCCACGCCCCGCAGCCCCAGGCGGACACGCCCCCCAAGGGCCCAGCCACGCCCCGCGGCCCCAGGCGGACACGCCCCCCAAGGGCCCAGCCCGGAAAGTCCCCAAGCTGCTTGCAGCTCCGGACGCCTCCGGACTGGCACGACCCCTGTGCCGTGTGACCCCCTTAAAGAGAACAGGTCTCAACCGGTTCGGCCACGACAGACACGCACCCCACGCTCCGGCTCCCACAAAGCCACGCGCTCTACACTCCCACTCCCCCAACCTCCGCACCCCCACCCTCACCCCTAACTCCCGCACCTGAGGCTCCATTGCTTTAGGAACGTGCGTGCGTGCATGCAAGCCTCCAGCCCCAGGCACACCGGGCCCACGAGGAGGGGAACGCGCGAGGGGCCATGGGTGGTGGGCTGGACACGTGGACCTGTAATGCTGCTCTCCAGGCCTGGACCTTATGGGAATAGCACCACTGTTTATAAAGTTAAGATAGCTAATGATTCAGGTTACTGTCTGCCATTCCCGCCAGACTGAAGCAGCACCCATGCCATTTTGTCCCCCTTCCCCCCCATTGCTACTGGGGGCGCGGGAAAGCCCTGCTGCGTCTGGATGGGGAGGGCCAACCAACATACCCCTTCTGTTCCTCGTCTCTGCCTTGTTTAATTCTTTGCCAGGAGTGTCCAGTTCCGCACCCGTGGGCAGCACACCGCCAAGGATAGGCACAATGTGGCTCCACACAAAATCAGAAGCTGACTTCAAACATGAGAGTTTTGGGGGGTTTCTTTTTTTCTTTTTTTTTGCAATTTTTTAAAAACAATTTCATGATTCCCCTGGATAAGCATTGTGGATAATAAATACATTGTGTCACACTGTTAAAAGGTTGGACACCCAAGTCTAGATAATGCAGGCACACCCACAGTTCTGTTTTCTCTCTCGTGGATAAAAATAGCTATTTAAAGAAAACACACACACACACACACACACACACACACACACACAAACCCCAATACCCAAAATCCTACTTCAACCTCAGCCCTGTCTGTTTAAACATCTCAGAGAAGCCTGCTTTGGCACTTCCTAAGGCCAGGCGTTATTAGGGAGGGTTGTAGCAGGGGATCCACTCCCCGCAATCATGGGAGGGATGATGTATCGTTTATGAGAGTCTCCTGGCAAAGTACAAAGTGTTGGAGTGTGGCACTAGCACTGTACCGGGGACCAAGCTCTTAGAGAGGGTGAGCCAACCTCCTCTGCCTGGGAGTGCAGAGCTTAGCCATGGCGTGGGTAATGGGGGATTTGTTCCTTTGGACTTGGTGAGGAGCGGGAATTCACAGGCACAGCATCTGGCCTTGGCCTGCCTTTTCTTTTGTTTTGTTTTGTTTTATTTTGTTTTGTTTTTGTTTGTTTGTTTGGAGACAGGGTTTCTCTGTGTAGCTTTGCGCCTTTCCTGGAACTCACTTGGTAGCCCAGGCTGGCCTTGAACTCACAGAGGCTCTGCCTCTGAGTGCTGGGATTAAAGGCGTGTGCCACCCGGCACACAATACAATAACACATAAAACTGCCTTTTATTTAGGTCACTGGGGAAGGAGACGGTGCTTGCAGTAAGCCATTGTTCAGGACCCAAGGAGTGAGGGGTTTGGTTTTGTAACATCATTTGGAAGGAGCCGCCCATCTACTTCCTTCATCTCAGCACAGGTCTCTCATCCCCTGAGATTCACATACCACCTATTCTCACTTCCCTCCGCAAGTGACCTGACCAGAGCACCGGGCTCCTGCTTCCCCTCCCCTCTCACTCGCATGGAGCCTTCAAGTCCCTGTACTTCGTTTTATGATTATAGTTTTGTGTCCCTGAGTGGGCGGGTTGTTTTTGAGACAGAGTCTCAGTATGGAGCTATGGCTGACCTGGAATCTACTATGCAGACCAGACTGGTCTCAAGCTCACAGAGATCTGCCTGCCTCTGCTGGATTAAATGTAAGGCCCCAGCTCATTCTGGTTTTTAAAAAAGGAGCCTCCAAGGTGTGTAAGTTCTCAACCTCCCAAAGGCTGCATGTGAACCTGGAATAAGTGTCCAGCAGGATCCTAAACAGCCCCATGCAGCGTGATGACCAGAGAAATGTTTGCAATAGGAAAGGGAGAGGGGCTGACTGCCTTACCAGGAGGCCAGGCATCAGGGAGGTGGAGAATCTGGGGGGCGATCTTATTGGCTCCCATAACACAGTGTGAGGGGGACAAATGATGAGGTCTAAGGGGTGGAGTTTGCATGTGTAGCTTCCGGTCCTTGGAAGAAGTGGGGAGCAGGCAGTGATAGTCATGTCCATGAGCAGATGTCCTTAAATCTATTTAGACCCCAGA